GATGGCTTGCTGCTGTTATCATTCAAGTTTCTAAAGGTTTAATCGATCGAAAACAACAAGTTCTCGACAACACACGACATAAGGGGCTGCGGCAGTCACAGGACTGCGGAACAGAATCAGCTGTACTGCTGAGAGAATATGTGTTCATGTGAAAAAGCTTCGTGAAACGTTATACACTGCTGAAGAGAACGTGAATTACAGTTCAAGCCGTCCGTTGCCCCGAAACAAACGTATAACATTCAAAGCCACTGATCTATACCTTTTTTAATAAAGATATAATATGATAAAAAATACCAGCCAAAGAGCAAACGACTGTACAACACACAGTGTTAGGTGAAAATCTCGCTTGAGATAGAGTGTACAACGTTCGTCTTCAGTAGCTCTCTGCAGGAAGATCAGGCTCCCCAGAGAAGTGAGTGATAAAATGATCGAAAGACGACGGGTTCTGCCCGACTGACGAGTCTGTAAGGACGAAACACGTGTATTGGGCTGTAAAAGAACCCTTACCAGACTACATGACATGTTGGCTCAAATAATAATGAAAGGATTCATTGAATTTTATTAAGTAAGAAAACACGTATTCGCAAATCCAATAGAGATATTTAGTCTGATACTTTCGATTATGTCGTCGATATCAAGCTCGTGATGCTGAGATGTAGACACTCACACATGAGACATATCTAGCTGATAACGATTAGCATTTGAACGAGATAATCAAACACGGAGAAATACTTATATCAGCCACTTGTGTAAAAATCTGGCTTATCATCCACTGGCATCCTTTATCTTCAAATCCTGTGGGATCAATGATGGTCTTTACTCGTTGCTCAAAAGTGTGGACGCGAAGAGTTCACGTTCACAAGAATATTCTCACTTCACACTTCTGATTCTAATTTCTCTTTTAGCTACTCAGTAGCTTCTGATCCTCTTTCATTGTTTCGTTGAAAACGAGGTGCAAAGTGACATTCCATTGATGATTTGCGGAAGTTGATGAAGTGTTCATCAATCCTCATGTCACTTTCAAAGCTATAGCTTGAATACTGAGTAGCCATGTAATTCAATATGATCTTCTAGGATTTGGCAGGACTTGAAACATTCGGGTAACCCGCCTTTACTAGTAGTGAGAGGCCTAGCGAAATATTCGTTTGCTTCTCTCGGACAATCATCGCCAGTGGTGGTGGTCTGCTTCGAACGTGGCCATGCCCGTGGGGCTTACATCGTAGTCCTAGATTCATCACCACCTCTTGATGTGGATGGTTTATTTTAGCCATGAACACGTCCACTCATGGTTTCGGTGGTCGCCGAGCGGAGCGCTTGCACTCTCTTTCAGTGCTCCTGTAATATTTTCATCCGTCTGTTACGTGTTCCTCTTTTATAAGACCGGCGCAGCTGTGTTTCACGATCGATTATGCTCTCCTGACTTCGTTGTAATGGGATTAAAAATTTTAAGTTGCGCACACCGACTAGACGTTGTGAGTGTCGGTTAAATTTTAAAACATGTCGTTCAAGCGCTCTGTGGGTGTTGTCCATATTTCTTGGAGTGAGTGAAGAATCAGCACATATGCACAATAAAGCGCCAGAAGGATTGCTGAATCTCATGAGTAAACGCGGAAATTTCGGTTTATTGGTCGGCTGTGTCTATGACAAGTCAAAATACGATCCATGCTGCTCTTCTTCTAGTGATTCCTCCATCCCTTTGTTCTCTAGATGGAAACTACTCGGTTCTATTTGTACATCCTCGTCCAAAATCTCTTTAGAAACTATGCTCTCGTTCTGGCTTTGCATAGCCCTTTTTTCTTCTTCCGCTTCATTAGATTTTTTATGCATATCCTCTGCTTCATTGTTGAGCCTCTTTTTCTATAGGTGCGATGATGGGTCGCCCTATGTACTTTCGTGCTGAACTTTCGCTAAAAGTCAGTAAATGTTCACATATAGGACCGCTCCACATCTTAGTCGATGAGCAGTGGTAGGAATGCGTTTGTTTCGACGCTTTCAAACGCTTTCTCATAGTCGATACCGGTTAGTACATAGGGCACACGGTAATGCCGACAGACCTCAATGACCCACGACATGACTTACATAAGGTCTGCAGCAGAATCACTGTCGGATACTTGCTTACTCAAATGGTCGCGCCTCATTCCAAGTCTGCGATATGCGCAAAGGGATAATGCTCGGGAATAGCTATAAGAACAGACTCAGCAGGCTTCTTGCACGGTACTTACAGAAATCTCTTCTACTTTCGCAAGTGGGACAAGAGTGCGCGAATTGCTTCACTGGCGCGCAATTTTTCTCCTAGAGGCATCATGTCATCTGGTGTGGGGAGGTATATAAATTGTGGCTTTCAGCTTCGAAGAAGTTTGCACTGATATTGTGGGATCCTGGTACTGTGCATCTGTTCACGCTTTCTAGCCCAACTCAATTTTTACTCAACTTAACCCAACTTCATTATCCTGGAGGTTTTTAAGTGGGATTTTGGAGCTTAAAAGAAGGATATGAAACAGAAAAGATTGGTTTAAAACTTTTCCATTATTTTTCGCATCATGGTAGGGTATAGTACTGGTCTCATCTTCGTTAATCGAAGCGGATAGCGGAACATTTTACTTGCACAACTTCTACGGCATTTCTTAAGCTTTGTTCTGGAGCTTCCAACCGTTTCTTTTGCCTACGCAAGTGTAGATCTTATTGAAAAGCTTTTCTGGGACTGATACTCCTTACTGGCTGTTCTAAGTGTGTTTCAGTAAAGTTGAATTCACATTCGTCTTTTTATCAACCAACTCTTTGGTGACAATGGACATGTAACATGAAGTTGTTGTTCTAACACGTTGGGGACCGTAAATCCACAGCGCTAACTCTGCCCCGTCGCGCGCGCGGAGGCTCGGCAGCAAACAGCCCGCAGTGGCCAGTGCCTCGTGTTTCCGTCCATCAGGAAGAAAGTTGCTGGTTTTATTCACCACCACTACGCTTCACTGCAGTTTTTTTCAGTATTGTCTTTTTGTTTTCAGTATATTACGCTCGAATTACTAACACACCACATCACTTGAACTGAACACAAATAAGTAGATCACATAAAATTTAACACAGAAAGAAATGCGAAAACAAGTTGGATAAGCGTTGTTACCACAAAATCTACGTTTTGCATCTAGAAGAAGTGAAATGTTAGACAATTGAGCGTTTTATGCTATATTAATTACGTTACAGAAGAACCTTCAATACTAATCAACGCCAAAAAATAAAAACTGAAAAAAAAAACCACAGTGAAGCGTCGTGTTAAAGGATCGCACCAGCAACCTTCCACCAGGTAAAGGGGCAGCACAAGGTGCTCGTATCTGCGGGCTACTCGTCGCCGAGCTGTCGCGCGCGTGAGGCTAGAGTTGTGAGTCTGCTGTCCCCAATGTGCTAAGCATCTGAGGTGAATTGCGTTCACGTTTGAAGTTCCGAACTAGAAGTTGTAGACTTCGATTGGGTACTTCTTCATTTGTCAGTCATCTTAGGGAATTTTATTAGAACTCAACACAGTTCGTCCTATTTTTCTCAATCGATAGTAATTCACTTCTAGCTTATGGCTGATGCGAATCTTCCCGTAAAGGCAGTGGTCGAATCCGGCACAAAATGTGGGTGCCACTTAAGTGTCGATAAGGTGCTATTTTCTCCATAAGAATATGGTAGATTTGAGCATGTGCCGCTTTGTTAGAATACTGTCATATCCACTGGCAAATTTCTTCCTTCTCCAAAAATGAATTTCGACGAAGGAGACGTGATGTGGACAAAATTCTTACGGGAGCATGACCAGATATAAATTATAACCTTAGACAGCTCGGCTACGTTTCGGTTTCCAACGTTTTTTGTACACTTCTTATATCTCTTGCTGACCAGAAATTAAGACAAATAGATGAATGCAGGGGGAATTTGACCGCGTTTGATTATGAAAGCCTACGCAACTTTTTTTCGTCCCAGTGATCTTTCGAGAGAAAAAAATCTCGATGATTCGAGCGATCGCACGAAATAAAGTACTTAACAAGGCTATATATTCATCTGGGGAGCATTAGTTCGGCTATCTTCGAGGTCATAAGGAAAATTTTTTTTATTGGTATTCTACGACATTTTTAAATACGAAATCCTCAAGCAGTAGTCGAAACAACACGCGAAATGTTTGAAGCCTTATATGGAGAATGAATGCGAGAAAACGAATTGAATGGAAAAAGTGTTGGGATTCTCCCAGTATACGTGATAAGGAGCCATGTAAAAAGCTTTCATCTCCATCAATCATCGTAAGGGTGGATGACTTCGTGTCACATCTACACACAATCACTTTCAGTAGCCAACCGATGTATCAAATTGATTTTATTGTCCTCCTGAAGAAATTTTGCACAATTCAGACTTCAAAAGGATGGAAGGCTTGGTCAACCAGGCTTGAGAGATTGAATCAACGACCACGTTTCTATCGCAGGATAGCTTCAATCACTGCACTACAAGCATACGCCTAGAAGCTCAATGAAAAAAAAATTGACTCTTCACTACCTACTCTTATCATCGAATCCCAAACTCGTTTTCAACTCACGCACTTATTCCTGTGTGGGACTACGAATCGTGGAGCTGAGATCAGGTTTAGCTACTTGCTATCTTGAACAGTTCACGTGGATTTTGTTCCCACAAAGGCGTTGAATTGTTTAGATAAAAAGATCTCTGAAAAGAAGACAAAGCAAAAATATAGAACCCTTGTTGCAGCTCATATTTTACCAACGCGTAAGGGAATCGAATTAATACTACAAGATGCCTATTCATCTACCATGTAAGGTTGACTGGTGGGTTTTGTGGCTCTGTTGAGGTGGGCGAGATCGTCGAAATGTGCGTAAACCCTTGACATGCTGAACCTCGAAAAGGCTGAAATTATCCTCTCAAACTATATATCCGAATGAAATTCTAATTATTAAACCGCTCTAGCGGTGGTATGATGTTACACAAATGTATACCCATTGATAAAGTGTGATGTGCAAAACTTTCGCGTCAGGCGGGACTAGAACCCGCATCTCAACCTCATTCTTCCAGAATGCGTGCTTTATCCGTTACACTACTGACTCCCATTGTGCACATCGCTCCTTCTACGCTACATCGCATTTATATCCGAATGTTCATAACGGAATGTTCCCCTAACCGAGGTGTTTCCCTAGCCCTTTTCTAGGGACGGCAGTTGATCGATCGCACAGCGCAACTCGCAAGAGACGCGCGATTTTTTGTTATTCTATCAGGGGTTTTTCTCTATTTAGAAAGCGGAAGCTTAGGTCTTTTGCGTTACTCTGACAGTGCATGATTTTCTCTACATGTTCATATGTTTTTCGTCCATATATGACTTTTCTATACGATAAAAACTTCTAGTGCGAAGCGTAATCTTCTTTTCGCTCTTACAGCGTTCTTTGATGACCTTTCAGGAAATCAATTACATCGTCAAAATCCTCGAGATTTGCGCTATCGAATGACCAGTAAGCGTCCAATTAAAAGCCATAAGCAAGCCCCAGTCGAGCAAATAAATCAATGATAAAAAGGTTATTTTCCAAATAAGATATTATGTTGAAATCTCAGAGATCTAAGCTTCTAAATGCCTACCAATTCTCTAAGAGAAGGGTTTTCACCAGCGAGAAAGGCCTTCAAACCATCGTGTACCTCATCTGGTACACGTCCGTCCCTGAGGAGATCGAAGGACAACAAGAAGGCTAGATATCTAGCAAAACCCAAAGTTGTCCGAAGACCAATGGCATGGAGTCTCCGAATCCAAGTCGCAGAGGCGTCGTCGCGACCGAAAACTTTGCGGATCGCCGCACTTGTTTCATTCGATTAGTTTCCTCGACATCATCCTCCAAAACGGTCTTCGGCTAATTCACGTGTTCCTCCGGTTACTTCTTGGGGAACTCGCCGTCTCTCTATAGAAGGATGTTACAGAATGATCGAGACGATTCTCACTGTACACTCTTTGGCTGGCTTGCAAAAATAGTGTCGTGGGGAGATCGAACTGGTGACTAGATTGTTGACTGACAAAGTAAAACTCTGCCTCACCTGCCACTGCGCCATCTGTCTAGTGTTTTAACCGTAAATGCAGACAACATTGTTAATCTGTCGCTTTATTTCAAATATTTGCCAAAAAACAGTTCTTCTCGATGCTAAGATGTTAGATCGAAGCGGTGGCAAGACCAAGAGGAAGTTAGGTGAGTGATGCGTTTATTTTAAGGTTCAGGGTTAATTTTTGTTCATTAGCCCTGCGCGTGCGACAGTCGAACGTCGCAAGCGAAGCGCGATTTTCGCTATTTATTAATGATTTTTCTCTTTGTTTCGACAAAAAATCCTAGGTTTTTTTTGTTTTGCTCTGATAAAACATGATTTTATCTACACGCTCGTATACTTTTTGTTCATATATCACTTTTATGTGCGAAGAAAACTCCATATGTGAAACGTAATGGTCTTTTCGCTTTCACAGTTCACTGTGAAGACCTTCCAGAAAACCAGACTCACCTTCGGAATCGTCGAGATTTTTGCTATCGAATGGGTAGTATTAGTAGCCATCCACGGCCCCTCCTAAGCAAGCAAAGCAAACCGAGTGTGAAACGTAATTTATTTTCCGCCTCCACAACCTATTAAGGAGGATTTTTGAGTAGCCAAGCACAATGTTGAAATCGCCGACATTTGAGCTTTCGAATGACTGCTGGGATTCTGGTGAGAATTCTCTGTATAGCGAAAAAAGATCTCTAAAGGTTGATGGAACACAATAATACTCATCCCCCCAAAGGGTTAAGCCATTGAAATGCCTTCAAGCGAGACATTTTTTGAAAAGTTTATAGATCAAAATTTCTATACTATTAATAAAAATATTGAAGGAACAAAAAGCAGGAGAACGTTTTTTGTTGCAGAAATGTACAGTTCAGTGAAAGACGACTTTCAGGTTATATGAGAAGTTTTGAGCGACCGTCGCCGAAGAAGACGAGTCTGGAGGAAAAGGTTTGGATCCGCTTACTGCAGTAATTGAGATTTTTTTACTTTGACACTTATATGTTAGACAGAGCGCATGTGGCGCAGTGGTTAGAGGTGTTCTGCGTCGCACACGAGGTCAATGGTTCGATCTCGCGCTCATGGCTCACCAAGCCATCCATCCCTCAGGGGTCGGTAGATTGGTAGACAGGTCTCAGACTTGTCTGGGAGGATAAGCAGCACTGACTCGGTTCAGCGGGAGGCCCCGCGAGTCATTGTAAAGGCCAGATATGCATTCAATCACCTCAAACGAAGGAAAAAATTGAAGACGAATGCATGCGTCGAGAGCTTTATCCTTTTTATTTTAGACAGCGACAAATTTCTAAACCGATCTTATTTGCTGGACGAGAACTTTTCATTGTAGTGCTAGTAATCGTTCGAAAGCTTAAATCTTTGGCTACAGCTCTACGTCGCCGGTTTTCCGAAATATCCGTTCATAACACTGTATGACCTGTATCACCTGTCGTCCCGTTGATCGTCGAGTGACTCGAGCGGGTACCAGCAACTCTTCCATTTTCCCCTATCGCGCGCAAGAGTAGCCCAGTGGGTCCTCCTTGCTCTAGGAATTCGCTGAGCATCATATCTTTCTTCCATCGCTTTCGTGAAGAAATCGGACCAACGGGTCAGTGGTCTTCCTTTAGAGCGCTTGACGTTCCGAGGAATCCAGTCGGTAACGGCTCTCGTCCATCGGTTGTCGTTGAAGCGCATCACGTGTCCGGCCCACCTTATTTTCGATATCCTGGCGTGTAGAACGGCGTCTCTGATTTTCGATCGTTGACGTAGGTCGGAAGTTCGGATCCTTTGTCTCATTTGCGAAATACGAGATACTCCTAGCATCGACCTTTCGACTGCGCGTTCGATAACGGCAAGTGATCTTTCATCCTGCTTACGTAGCGACCAGGTTTCTGCTGCATACGTTAGGGCAGGGATAATTGTCGAGTCGAAAAGGTGGGCACGGAGTCGGATGTCTTTGTCCTCTTCACTACATCTTCGATGCTCTTAAACGTTCCCCAAGCCGCTCGTTTCCTCCTGCTCAACTCTGGGGCTAGGTCGTTCATCATGTTGATTTCACGACCTAGATAGATGTAACTGGAGCATTCGGAAATTGTCGTTCCGTTGAGCGTGAATGGGGCATTAGAAACCCATCCGTTCCTCATGAACATTGTTTTCGTTAGATTCAGTTGGAGACCGATCTTTCCACAGGCGTTATCGAAATCAGTCAACATTCGTTCCGCTTGGCTGATGTTTGGTGTTATGAGAACGATATCGTCAGCAAAGCGAAGATGGTTTAATTGTCGACCGTCAATTTTCACTCCCATTTCGTCCCATTCTAATGTTCGCATGACGTTTTGTAGGGTGGCAGTGAATAGTTTTGGCGATATTGTATCGCCTTGTCGAACCCCTCTTCTTACGTCAATGGTGATATTGTTGTAGAATGGAGATATTCTGGTCGTGAAATCTTTATAAAGCTCACGAAGGATCATTATGTACCGAGTAGGGACGCCCTGGTTATCCAGAGCCTCTATAACCGCTTCTGTTTCCACTGAATCAAAGGCATTTTTCAGATCGATAAAAGTGAGACAGAGTGGTTGTTTGTACACTCTGCGAAACTTCAATGAGTCTTGTGATCGTGTGGATGTGGTCCATGGTACTAAATCCTTTTCTGAACCCTGCTTGTTCGCATGGCTGTCCTTCGTCCAATGTTCTGTCAATCCTGTTCAGGATGACTCGAGTAAAGAGTTTATAGACAACGGACAGCAAGCAGATTGGGCGATAATTGCCTATGTCGTGAAGGTCTCCCTTTTTGAACAACAATACGGTCTTGCTGGTTTTCCATTGAATAGGGACCTTGCATTCTGACAGGTAGCGAGTGAAGAGCCGAGCCAGGGTGTTGATGAGAACTGGCGGCAGATTCTTCAGATGTTCTGGTCTAATCCTGTCTGGACCGGGTGTTGTTCTGTTTTTCACCGACGATATAGCATGTCGGATTTCGGAAGGAAGGACCGGTGGAACGACATATTCGTCCTCTTTCAATTTATATGACGGTAAGAGAACATGGCTAGCGAAGAGATCCGAGTTGTACTGGTGGATGATTTTCTCCATAGCCCTTCTGGAAGCTGTAAGTGTCCCGTCAGGGTATCGGAGTGCAATCATCTTGGTCTTATAGTTGGCGAAGCCTCGCTGGGCTTTGCGAATGCTCTTCCCAGCTTCTGCAGCTTCTGCCATAACTGCTGCTCTTCTCTCTTTAAGGTCTTCTTTTATCGCTTCTCTGCATCGTTTCGCAAGTTCGGACGTAAGGTTTCGGTTGCCTGCGGCTCGTGCGATTCCACGTTGACGTATCAGCTCGAGTGTCTGCGGAGACAAGCGTCTCTTCGTGACCTTAGGACTTTCGGCTTTTTAGCGCCAACGTGAAGATATTCAACGAGTCGATCGTACTCTTCGTCGATGTTGTCGACAACGGTATCTTCCCAAGAGCCGACTAATGATTTGAATACATCCCAGTTTATGGTAGTTCTGGGACTTCGTTGTTTGTATTTAGCGGCTTTCTCTCCTCTCCTCGAAAATCGGAACGTTGCGCGAAGGAGGCGATGGTCTGATCCCGTGTAGAACTTGGGAACAACAGCGACGTCGGTCAGGCAAAACCTTCGATTTACTATGATGTGATCTATTTCGTTATGGTACTCTCCATTGGGAGACTCCCACGTCCATCGCTGAGAGAGAGGCTTTTGGAATTGCGAGTTACCATGGATGGTTTGGGTCGTCATGATAAACTCGGATAGCCTCTCACCCTGTTCATTCCATTCTAGTCCGTGGGTCCCTATGTGACGTTCTTCAGACGTTCTTCTAGGTCCAATTTTTGCGTTAAAATCTCCGACAATGACCTTGAAGAATGTATGATCTTCTCTGAAGAATTTTTCGAGGTCCATATAGAACGCTTCGACTTCGTCTTCGTCATAGCTTGATGTTGGTGCGTAAGCAACGAAGATGGTCAAAGCCGGCATAGAACCACATCGTTTCAACCGTAATCGTCCGATGCGGGTTGTTAGTTGTTCGAACGAATCAA